ACGCAAATCAGGGTAGCTCCTCGGCCGACATTCCTAGTGGCCCAGGCTCTGCTGTCCCTGCACTTCTAGTGACGGACCCCTGCCACCCTCCCCAGCCACAAGACCTAGGCTTGGCCAACCAGAAATCTTCCCTGGGACTTTTCTAAGTGGTGCTGGCAGGAAAGAGCCTCTTTCCTCACAGGTTGTTAAGAAGAAGGATATAAAACAAAAAACAAAGAGCCCATTAAAATAAGAACTTAAATCCACTAATGAATTAGCAAGTAAATGAATAAATGAATGAATGGATGTATGTTTAAAACAAAGTAAATGCAGTCATGCATTGCTTAACAACAGGTACATTCTCTAAGAAATGCATCATTAGGTAGCCAGGCATGGTGGCTCACGCCTGTAATTCCAGCACTTTGGGAGGCCAAGGCGGGTGGATCACGTGGTCAGGAGTTCAAGACCAGCCTGGCCAACATGGTGAAACCTAGTCTCTACTAAAAATACAAAAACTAGCCAGGCGTGGAGGTGCATGCCTGTAATCCCAGCTACTTGGGAGGCTGAGGCAGGAGAATCATTCGAATCCAGGAGGCAGAGGTCGCAGTGAGCCAAGATTGCACCATTGCACTCCAGCCTGGGTGACAGAGCAAGACTTGGTTTTAAAGAAAAAAAAAAAAAAGAAATGCAACATTAGGCAATTTTGTTGTCATGCCAACATCACAGGGTGCATTACACAAACATAGATGGTATAGCCTGCTACACACTTAGGCTATATGGCATAGCCTATTCTTAGGCTACAAACCTGTAGAGCATGTTACTGTACTGAATGCTATAGGAAGTTGTAGCACAATGGTAAGTGTTTGTGTATCCAAACATAGAAAAGGAAGAGTAAAAATATCATATAAAAGATTAAAAAAAAAAAAAAAGGCACACCTGTATAAGGTACTTACCATGAATGGAGCTTGCAGAATGGGAAGCTGCTCTGGGTGGGGCAGTGAGTGAATGAGTGGTGTGTGAATAGGAAGGACATAACACTCCTGTAGACTTTATAAGTACTGCACACTTAGGCTCTACTAAACTAATGAAAATATCTTTCTTCAATAATAAATTAACCTTAGTTTACTATAACTATTTTACTTTATAAATCTTTAAATTAAAAACATTAAATTTGGTCAGGCGCTGGCTCACGCATGTAATCCCAGCGCTTTGGGAAGCCGAGGTAGGTGGATCACCTGAGGTCAGGAGTTCAAGACCAGCCTGATCGACATGATGTAACCCCGTCTCTACTAAAAATACAAAATTAGCCAGGCGTGGTGGTACATACCTGTAATCTCAGCTACTCGGGAGGCTGAGGCAGGAGATTCGCTTGAACCCAGGAGGTGGAGGTTGCAGTGAGCCGAGATTGTGTCATGGCACTCCTGCCTGGGCAACAAGAGAGAAACTCTGTCTCAAAAAATAAATAAGTAAATTTTATTTATTTAATTAGTTTAAACTAAAATTTTTTAACTTTTTGACTTTTCATAGCAGCTTAAAACACAAACATTGTACAGTAGTACAAAAATACTTTCTTTATATTCTTATTCTTTAAGTTTTATTCTATTTCTAAAATTTTTAATTTTTTTTACTTTTTTAACTTTTTTGTTAAAAAGTAAGACACGAACACATACATCAGCCTAGACCTACACAGGGTCAGGATCATCACTGTCGCTGTCTTCCACCTCCACATCTTGTTCCACTGGAAGATCTTCATGCATGGAGCTGCCAACTGCCAAGATAACAATACCTTCTTCTGGAATACTTCCTGAAGGACCGGCCTGAAGCTAATTTAAAACAAACTTTTTTTGGTAAGTAGAATGAGTACAATCTTAAATAACAATGAAAAATACAGTATAGTAAATGCATAAACCAGTAATATAGTCACTTATCATTATCAAGTATTATGTACATGCATAACTGTAAGTGCTATATTTTTTCATGACTAGCAGTGCAGCAGGTTTCTTTATACCAGCATCATCAGCACAAATATGTAGTAATGTATCATGCTATGGCTTTATGGCATCTACAAAGTCACTAAGCAATAGGAATTTTTCAGCTCCGTTACAATCTTATGGAACCACTGTCATATATGCAATCGGTCATTGACAAGAAGTCATTATACAGATACAGCATATGACTGTATATTTAATTAGAAGAAAAAAGCATAAATTTTGCAATCAGAAAAATCTCAGTTCTGAATCTCAATCTTACCACTTAATGTCTTTTAGTCTTGAGGAAAGAAATGTGAAGACCTAACACAATCTGGCCTACATACATGGGTCCTTCCCCTTAACACACTGGATTAACAACTGTGACTCAAAGCCATTGATACCGTTCTTGACATTGGGAAACATAGACATTAGATTCTCATTGATCAGTCTGCAGCTAAATGATTTGTGGATAATTAAAGTATATGACTAAAAAGATATTTTTACCAAAATTGCTGCATTTGAAATAAGCTTTCGGAAATATTTTCTTATATTTAAGGTATAAGAACTTTTGCAAATCAATCTGATAGTTTCACACCAGTTTCACTGATTTTATATGTTGTGAAACACTTGGCTCCACTCTATATATAATATACAAAGAAATAAAATATGGCAAGACTTAGTTATACTATACACTAATAGTTTAACAAGTTACAATTTTCTGCTGGATAGGAATTTGGTAAAAACTTTTAAAATTGTGTTCCTTGACCAGGTACAGTGGCTCACACCTGTAATCCCAGCATTTGGGGAGGTCAAAGTGGGCAGATCATCTGAGGTCAGGTGTTCGAGACCAGCCTGGCCAGCATGGCAAACTCCCATCTCTACCAAAAATACAAAAAAAATAGTTGGGTGTGGTGGCACACCTCATGCCTCAGCCTCCTGAGTAGCCCTGTAATCCCAGCTACTCGGGAGGCTGACCCACAAGAATTGCTTGAGCCCAGGAAGCAGAGGTTGCCGTGAGCCGAGATTGTGCCACTGCACTCCAGCCTGGGCAACAGAATGAGACTCCATCTCAAAAGAAAAAAAAAAAAATGTTCCTTTGAAAATTTTGTTCCTTTATTTTATAAATTTCAGAACAACAGATTTAAATGAAAAATGTTATTTTGCTTTTATTATTTATTTTCAACATTTAAGATGAAAACTCATTAGCACTCCAAAACAAAAATGAAAGAGAATCAGAAGATATAATACAAATGTCCGTCAGTTAAAAATTTGGTTAAATAAATTACAGTAAATCTATAAAATGAAACACCTGGCAGTGCCTAAAGTGATTATGTGAATCTAATTTCATTGGCATTGTTGTGTTGTCTCCAATGCAGGGGACAAAGTAGCATGTGTGATACTGACCCAATGATGTCAAATTATAGACTGTGTTTCTCTGCTTCGTTCTCCCATGGCCTTCAGTTCTTCCTCTCTCTTAGCATTCAAAACACTTTCTTGTTATTACTGAGTTAATATTTAATGTCTCTACCAGACTAGACTATAAGCTTCATGAGAGCAGGAAGCTCATCTTTAGCCCCAGCACTTAGACCAGTGTCTGACTCTGAATAAATAAAAATCAGTATAGAATTATTAAATGAGTGGGTAGTCTAAGGAACTCAACTTGTTCTTGATGTTTCCTGGTTCCTTTTCAAACTGCTGACAAATCATCCATCTGATTATCTGTTCTGGAAGTTTGCCTAAGACTAACATCAAGCCAGCAGAACTTTCCATTTTCTATCTGTGAGTGTTTGCATCCTTATTCATTTGGATTCTTAGTTTTCACGGCCTCTCTTGTTAAATTGTCAGCCCTTCAAAGACTGGAACCATGTTTAATTTGTTCTTTTTTTTTTTTTTTTTTCATATGATACCCAGAAAAACGTTCTGCCCAAAGTGGAGGTCTTTTCAGAGATTAAACGGTTTGGCAAGTACAGCCTCCTAAGAGAATAAATTATTGGTTGGGGTTATTATAATTTAATGATAATCGCAAACACTCCCTTTCACAGGCCAGGCACTGTGGTTGGAACTGTATGTCAATTATCTCCTTGATATGAAACCAACTTAAGTCCCCATCGGCCAATGAGTGGATAAAGAAAACGTATATATACACGATGGAATACTACTCAGCCATAAAGAGAAATGAATTAATGTCTTTTGTAGCAACTTAGATGGAGTTGGAGGCCATTATTCCAAGTTAAGTAACTCAGAAATGGAAAACCAAATACCATATGTTCTCACTTGTAAGTGAGAGCTGAGCTATGAGGACACAAAGACATACAGAATGATATAATGGACTTTAGAGGCTAGGGGTGGGGGAGGTTGGAATAAAACACTACATATTGGGTGCAGTATGTACTGCTCAGGTGACGGGTGCACTAAAATCTCAGAATTCACCACTATATAATCCATAAAAACCACTTGTACCCAAACATACATTAAAATTTTTAAAACTTCTAAAAAAAAAAAAAAACCGTCTCCTTAATTCACAACATTCCTCTGAGGGTAGTACTACAAGTCCCATTTTACAGATGAGACCCCTGAGGCTTCAGCAAGTCTCAGGGACTCACCACAGTCACCCAGCTAGCAAGAAAAGGAACAAAGACTGGAATTTTTCCCAACTCCAAGGTCCATGTTTCACCTGTGACAATCCCCTCTCATATATCCAGCAGCTGATGGAGTCTTTCTCTCAGGAGACCAACTGGACGTAGACATATCACATCCATCTTATAGGCAATATGGCGAATCAGGAGGAGCCGTGAAAGGACGACTCACTAAGTTACTCTCCCAAATTTTTATGTTTGCTTAGACAGTGCCCATCATGATCACTAAGGAAGGTCGTTTCCTGATTCTTCTGCCCTTGCCTCCTGGACAAAAGCAGAGCACAGAAGCAGCATAAACCCTGGTTGGGCACCAAAGAACAGTCCCCACCTGTTCACTGCAAACCACAGGGGTCCAGAAGCCTCCGAATAATGCCCTCCCCATCTTGTTCGCTTTTTAAGTAGGTACGCAGCACAGAGCGAAGCACTGTTGCGTATTTCTGGACTGTTGCTTATTTCTCTTGCAGAGGAAGACCCATATACACAACCAAAAAGGCACTAACATGGGAGAAGATTTAAGGGATTAGAAGGATGGTGAAGGCATGGTCGTCCAAAATCCCCCTCTGGGGAGAGATGATTGAAATCTGGCTGTCATTACAAGAAGCTTCTGTTTGACAAAAACTGCCTGTTATTTCCTTGCTGATTTCTTACCCTCACACCGCAGGGAATCAGTCACCAGTAGCCTGATTCAGGTAATTTGCATTTGCAGAGTGGACCACACCTGATCGCTGTGGGCCTCCCTGCTAATGCAAATTATCTGAATCAGGCTGCTGGTGACTCACCCACTCCCCTTTAAAGCAACATCAGGTTCAAGGCAGTGACTGCTCAGCGTAGAAGCCATGGCTCGCAGACACTGCTTCTCCTACTGGTTACTGGTCTGCTGGTTGGTGGTAACTGTGGCAGAAGGTAAGGGTTTTGCTTTTGTTCTACTGTGGGTCCACTAATTAATAAGCTGTACAAAAAGACAAAATTGGTTCCATGATTGCACATTCCCAGAAGTTGGAAATATTTACCTCAGCGTCGATCAGCTTGTGTAGTTAAAAAGGAGATTAGATTTTGTCATCTGAAGACCTTGGTCCTCGTCTCAGCACTAGCTCTGTGACTTTAGACATGCTTAACATCTCTGAGCATCAGACTCCTCATATGTGAAGTGACAATATTAATAATATCCATTGTTGTGGGGTTTGCGAGGATCCAATGAGCTATCACCTGTGAAAAACTCTTCAAGCTAAAAACAGTATACAAACACTAGTTATTATGGTTACAAAGCTAACCATTCCACCTTGAATTACAGTACTCTCCACTTTCTATCTCCAGCAGCATATTAACTTGCACGTGGTGGGTATTTAGTCTTTGTTAATTGCTTTAATCACATCTGTTGAGCTGCATTTTGGTGCCACAGACGTGGGCACAGGTTTCTTTCTTTAGGATTATATTAGATTAAATTTCTCAACTCTTCCTATTCTCTTTCTTTGCTCCCACTAAAAAATGTGTCCTGAGCCTTAGAATTGGTTTGTAAAACCCTGGAGAAAGGAAAGAAAAAGCTGGGGAAGGGAGGAAAAGAGGGAAAGAAAAGTGGAGGAAATCCTGGGGAGCCTAGATCTAACATTTTTTCACAGTTAATTTTGATTCCAAAACTAGATGCTGTTTAGGGAAGAGGAACCTAGGAGTCAGACAGAGCCCTTTGCCCCTTTCACATGTCTTGGGGAGGGGGCTTTGCAGGGGCTCAACCAAACCCTGCTCAGGCCTGGGCAGATTCCCTGTTTGCATCCCTTAGAGCTCACAATAGACAGGAGACGGGGAGAGACATCAGAGCTGGTCGTGAAACACTCAGAGACCCCCGATCCAACCTCTGCACACACTCTGGCAATCAGGGGACAGGGCACAGATTATGAGCAAAACCTGCCCCCTAAATCCCAAGACAAGGCCCCAAGCCTCACTTGCTAAAAGTGACATCTAAAAGAAGCATCATAAAACAAAACTAGCCACCTGCCACCTTCTCTGCAGAAAGTGATCCGCTCTTCAGGAGGCTTTGTAAACATGTAGCTAAACAAGTTATAAGATTAGAGATTTCTTTTATTCACATCTTAAAAACACCCATTGAGGCAGGGCACGGTGGCTCATGCCGGTAATTCCAGCACTTTGGGAGGCTGAAGCAGGTGGATCACCTGAGGTCGGGAGTTAGAGACCAGCATGACCAACATGGAGAAACCCTGTCTCTACTAAAAATACAAAATTAGTCAGACATGGTGGTGCATGCCTATAATCCAGCTACTCGGGAGGCTGAGGCAGGAGCCTCCCGAGTAGCTGGATTATAGGCATGAACCCCAGAGGCGGAGGTTGCTTGAACCCCAGAGGCAGAGGTTGCAGTGAGCTGAGATCGCGCCATTGCACTCCAGCTTGGGCAATAAGAGCGACACTTCATCTCAACAACAACAAAAAACACCCATTGAAACATCAGATTTGATTTCCGAATTTGGTTCACTTTTCCCTGCAATCCCTCAAAGTCCTTCATATGTAGCTTCATTCTATCCCAGCAGCCCTGCTTCGAGTTCGTCATTCATTCACACACACCCTGGGTCTACCTGACAAGGTTATGTGTGGATCTCCAAAGTCACCCTCTTCTCACTCCTGCATGGCAGCAACCACAGCTGCTCCCTCCTCTTGCTTTCACCTCTGTTTGTTGCATTTCTGCTTTAAGGCACAATATTTAAATGCCACTGATTTTGCCTTTACAAAGTCTTTGTTAAGACATATAATTTTAAAATTGTAATCTCTGTTTCTGAAACCTTTGAATTCTGACAGCTATTTGTGCATCACCTACGGCATATATGGCATCTGCTCTGCATTGCAGATCCTCGTCTTCATAGCATCTGCCTGCTCCTTGAGTTCAGGCTCTTAATCTCAGTCATCTCTGCATTTGCCATAGCCCCTAATGTAGTAACCTAGACATGTTGAAATGACTTGACTCACAGCATAAAATTGAAAGAGGCCCGTGTAATACTTTCTAGGCTCTGATTTCGTATCTGTGAAATTAGAGATTTGACCAAGATAGTCATTCTGTGAGTCTACAAAATAAATTGAGTTTTGCAGTTATTGTGAGTCAATCAATCATGGAACTTATTTTTCTTTCTGGCTCAAGTCTGAAAGCACATGAGAATTTTTCTAAGACTCCATGCGCCACATAAGGGAAGCCTTGCACACTTAAACTTCAAGTATAAAGCTTACTTCTCTTCAAATCACTGCAAGCCAGCTTTGTCTGCCCAAACAACCACAGAGTATAGGTAATTATAAGAAAACGTTTCATCATTACCTTTTTTTTAAAAAGTACTTGTTTTTAAAGTAGTTGTTTGTATGCTATGAATTTCATGTCTAGACTATAATAAACCACCTTAAAACTGACATTCAAATTCCAAGCAATCTTTTGCCTTCCTCTATTATACTCTAATTTTATTATTTTTTTTGAGATGGAGTGTCCCTCTGTCGCCCAGGCTAAAGTGCAGTGGCACCATCTTGGCTCACTGTAACTCCCACCTCCCAGGCTCAAGCAATTCTGACTCAGCCTCCCAAGTAGTTGGGATTACAAGCATCTGCCACCATGCCCAGCTAATTTTTGTATTTTTAGTAGAGACAGGGTTTCACCATGTTGGTCAGGCTGGTCTCAAACTCCTGGCCTCAAATAATCCACCTGCCTTGGCCTTCCAAAGTACTGGGATTACAGGTGTGAGCCACCACACCTGGCCAATTTTTAATATAAATTATTATTACAGATTTTCTGGGACTGAAATACTCACTGAACTCCATAAAAATATACAGAGAGAAACATTCAAGGTCTGCCTGACCATTCAATTCATCAAGTATTTACTGAGCATCACTATAAGCCAGGAACTATTTTAAGTGCTGGAGACATAGGCAGTGAACAAGAGTCAACAGTCTCTGTCATTGGGAGGTCCTATTCTAATAACACATGCCCCAGTAGCCCCATCTTTAATGCATAAATTTTATGGGCCTAAGAAGATGGGGCTCAGGCTAACAATGTTTTCATAACATTCAAGATTAGTAACGGTAGCTGATACTTATTAAGGGTGGACTGTATGTCCATCAATTTTCTCAGGACTTTACATATTTTATTTCCAATAACACTCATAAGGGGATGATGAGATGGGTAGTATTATTTTCTTCATTTTACAAAGAAGGAAGATGAGATTCGAAGAGGTTAAGGAATCTATCTGTGTTCACCCAATTATTAAATGGCAGAGCTCAGAGAGCCTGGCTCTAGAGCCTATCCTTTGAAACGCTTCGCTATTCTGCCTCTCAAAATGTTTTTAATCCGCATTTAAATATTTGGCATACTTTGGTCTTATTAAGCTTGCAGAAGAGCTCTTGTCTTTGACATCGAGTGCCTTTGATAGCATGTCAGTATGTTACATAAGGGGAAATATTTGCTTATTATTCAACACACTACGCCTGAGAGGGAGGAACTTGTTAAATTTACAATTATAGAAACTGAGATTTCTCTCAGTCAATTCAATTGTACTGTAGGCACTGTGTTAGAGACGAGGAGGCAGCAGTCTACAAGATAGCCACGTAGATCTTTCAGTGGAGCAGGAATATAACCACTGAATAATAATCACACAGCCGAAGAGTATGATGAAAGTGGACTCACATGATGTTTGAAAGCCCAGCCTCTGGGTAGGAAAGGCCTCCCTGACCAAAAAATAATAATAATAAAAAAAAAAGAAGGTAGGGGGTGGAGAAAGAAACTTGAAATCAGATAGGAGTTTGCCAGGCAAAGAGGACAGAGAATGGTGCTCTCGGCATCTGCAACCACCTTCTCAGAAGCCCAGGACAATTAATGACTTTTGCCAAAGTAGCTTTTGTAGAGTGGAGGAGGCAGGGGTCAGATTCCCAAGGGTTAAATAGGGGGAGAAGCAGAATCAGAAGGTGTACAGACTTTAGAGAGAGAGGAGTAGGAACCAAAGAAGCTCATGGCAGATTACCTCAGCTTTCTCTCTGGAATATGAAGCTAATTAATCAACTTAGAATGGTAAAGAGAACTTCAAAGAAAATTCTTCAGATGAATGAAGAAGAAATATTTTGAGGGAAATTTGAGGAGATAGCCAAGGTTTTGAAGATGAGGAAGAGAGAATAAACAAAAGAATTAATGAGCAGTGTTAGATCAGCTGAAGTTAGAGACCATAAATGGCATCAGCCCACTTTCTCAGATGTGTGGCCCTAACTTTGTAGGATGTGACAGGTTCCCAAACCAATCACTATTGCTCCCACATTTTAGGACACTTGCACTAGCTAGCTAGCGACCTCATAAAAATCACCATAGGTCTAGTTTGCTTGGAAGAATGTGGTTTTATGTGGTCCTGCCCACATTTCTGGGTAAGTGATTGAAGCAAGCTTATACCTTGATCTTACACCCTTGAAAATTCCCAGAAAAAGAGAGCACTCAACACTACTGGACATCCCAGAGTCACAGGAAATCTGCCTTGCAGGCTCTAACACCCAATTGTTAGAAGAGGATTTAGAGAGTAGCTTCAGGTTTCTAGAAATGAGATGAGCAGGAGAGGTGGTGGGTGGGTGGTTTTTAACAGCTGGAGCACAGTTAAACTGGTGGCACAGCTCAAGGCCTCACTAAGCCTGAGCTGACAGCAAAATGCCAAGATGGGGCTTAAAACAGAAGCTAGCTTCTTTCCTAGCGACTAGATTCTTGGCAGAATGTCTTCCTGTAAGGTTCAGAACTTACCAAAAAAAAACAACTAATGTGGGATTTGGTCATTTTCTCTGGTTTAAAGTGTCTCAATCTAATTTCAGTCACAGAATTTCAATGTACTCTGAGTGGATATGGGAGAAGAGGTTGGTATTTTGTTCAAGGAACAGACACCCATTCAAGCTAGCTTTAGAAACAAGTAGAGCTGGAGGTGTACTGATTATTATAGGGATATCTCCAAGAAACTTAACTATAGCTAGGGCTCCCTGAAAAGCCAAAGACTGGTGGGGCATGGTGGTTTATGCCTCTAATTCCAGCACTTTGAGAGTCCCCAGGCAAGTGGATCACTTGAAGTCAGGAGTGTGAGGCCAGCCTGGCCAGCATAGTGATACCCGATATCTACTAAAAATACAAAAATTAGCTGGGTGTGGTGGCGGGCACCTGTAATTCTAGCTACTCAGGAGGCTGAGGCAGGAGAATGGCTTGAACCCAGGAGGTGGAGGTTGCACAGAATGTACCACTGCACTCCAGCCTGGGCAACAAATCAAGACTCCATCTCAAAAACAAATAAACAAAACCACCAAGGCTGGCCGGGCGCGGTGGCTCACGCCTGTAATTCCAGCACTTTTGGAGGCCGAAGCGGGCACACTCAAGTCCGGAGTTCAAGACCAGCCTGGTTAACATGGTGAAACCTGTCTCTACTAAAAGTACAAAAATTAGCTGGGCATGGTAGCACACGTCGGTTATGGGTGTGAGCTACTCGGGAGGCTGAGGCAGGAGAATCGCTTGAATTTGGGAGGCTGAGGCAGGAGAATCGCTTGAATTTGGGAGGCTGAGGCAGGAGAATCGCTTGAATCCGGGAGGCAGAAGTTGCAGTGAGATCGCACAATTGCACTCCAGGCTGGGCGACAGAGCGAGTCTCGGTCCAACAACAAAACGAAACAAAACAAACACCAAGGCTGTTGCTCCCAACATCACCCTGTTAGCACAAGGCCTCTAGTCTCTTCTCTCCCAGAGAGAAGCCTTCCCTATTTTGCTGCTTCTATGTGCAGACTGGCTTCTCTGCATTCTCGACATTCCACAGGCCAAAACCAGACACTCAAGCCCCCTGCCCTACACCCTCCACTGTCGTCTTCCACGGTGGTGGCTCAGTTATCAAGTGAGAACCTGATTGGTCACTGACCAGCCAATGAATGAATTGAGTGTCTATCAGAGGTCCAATCAGCCATAGCCAAAAGGTGTGTAGGACTGACCTTTCCAGGGTTCATGGATGAAACAGAATGTAGGAGGGACCATGGACATACGCAAATAACAAGCCATTGAACACAACCAAGAAACCTGAATTCAACTGTCCTGAAGGAGAGGGGAATCTAGTCCTTTATAAGTGCCTCAGTACTCTCAACTTCCTGTGGGAAGTTCATTTTATCATCATTTATGCCGGCAGCCCTTTCCAGGCTCTATATGTAAGCCTCTCAGGGAGTGAAGGAACAATTTTCTAAAGGAAAGGTTACTTTTTCATAGCCAATTTGATTCAATGATGCAGCCAAGGAAGACTATGACACTTCAGTTTGATTTAAATTTCTTCTAAAAAAATAATTGCACCCTGGTTCTCAGTGCTCTTTCTCCAGCTGCTTGTAGATGGGTCCTCCCTTCCTCTAGGGAATTATTTCACTGCTTGGATAGTTGAAGCAGAACTTTTGAATTAATGGCCTTTGGGGGTATTTTTATTTTTTTATTTTCTTAACATTAATTATGTTCTTTTTTTTAACTGAATTTTCTTTATTTAGTTATAATTTACATGCAATAAAATCCATACATCTTAAAGGTACAGCTTGATCACATTTTACATATGCCTACATATAAATGTGTGTGTATGTATAAACGTGTGTACACACAAATGTATATATGTGTGTATACACCTGTGTGTGTATACATAGAGATATATAGATAACACTATCTGTGTAACAACCACCCAGGACAAGACATAAACATTTCTAAAGAGTTCCTGGGCCAGCGCAGTGGCTCACGACTGTAATCCCAGCACTTTGGGAGGCCGAGGGGAGTGGATCACGAGGTCAAGAGATCGACACCATCCTGGTCAACATGGTGAAACCCCATCTCTACTAAAAATACAAAAAATCAGCTGGGCATGGTGGCTCATGCCTGTAATCCCAGCTACTCAGGAGGCTGAGGCAGGAGAATTGCCTGAACCCAGGAGGCGGAAGTTGTGGTGAGCCGAGATTGTGCTATTGCACTCCAGCCTGGGTAACAAGAGCGAAACTCCATCTCAAAAAAAAAAAAAAAAAAAAAGAGGGTTCCCTGGCTACACTTTCTGCTAAAATACACCTATCTGTGCCCTAAGCTGAATTATTATTTTGACTTTTTTTAACTATAGTTTTGCTTGTTATTGAACTTCATATAAAGGAAGTTGTACAGTATGTACACTTTTGTGTCTGAATTCTATTGCTCAACATAACATTCATGGGATTTATCCATGTTGCTCTGGGTATTAATAGTTCTTCCTTTTCATTGCTGAGTACTATTTCATTGTATGAATATACAGTTTTTTAATGCATTCTTCTGTTGATGGACACTTAGATTGTTTCCATTTAGGCCATTATGGATAAGGCTACTGTGAACACCCCTGAACTAGTCTTTTTGTAGACATAAACATTCATTTCTCTTGGGTAAATCCCCCACCGTGGAAATGCTAGGTCATCAGGTGTGTCTGTGTTTCTTTTTTTGTTTCTTTTTTGTGTGTGTGTGACAGAGTCTAGCTCTGTCGCCCAGGCTGGAGTGCAGTGGTGCATTCTTGGCTCACTACAACCTCTGCCTCTAGGTTCAAGCAATTCCCCTGCTGCAGCCTCCCGAGTAGCTGGGATTACAGGTGCAGGCCACCATGCTTAGCTAATTTTTGTATTTTTAGTAGAGACAGGGTTTCACTGTCTTGGCCAGGCTGTTCTCAAACTCCTGACCTCGTGATAGGCCCACCTCGGCCTTCCAAAGTGCTGGTTTTACAAGTGTGAGCCACCACGCCTGGCCTTGTGTTTCATTTTATTGAACGTGGGCAGTTTCAAATGCACTTTGAGACTTCTCTAATTATCTCTTTCCATCTTTCTCCTCTGCCACTACTCTAAAGTATCCATCACACTTCTGTTTCTGTCACCAGACCTGTTTCCTAACTTGTGTTTTCCTCTCCACAGGACAAGAAGAGGTATTTACCCCTCCTGGAGACTCAGAAAATAATGCAGACCATACCGACTGCCAGGTCTTTACACTCACCCCTCCACCCATCACGAGGAGTCCAGTAACAAGGGCGCAGCCCATCACAAAGACACCCAGGTGTCCCTTCCTTTTTTTTCCACGAAGGTTTCCACAAAGGCCCAGAGTCCATATTCGGTTTCCAAACAGACCTTTCCTCTCTTCAAGGTGTAACTACCGTTTTCCGTTCCAGCCATTTTATTGGCCACACCGTCGCCTTTCTCCCGGTAGATATTTCCTCAGAAGAAGACTCCAGAGAGGAAGCTCATCTGAGGAAATCTGAGAGAAGAGAAACCTAAACATACTGAAGCAAAAAAAAAAAAAAAAAAAAAAAATAAATGCCAATCCTTCGGAAAAAGCAACAGAAGATTTCTGTTTTATCTTTCCAAACTAAAACTATCGGATTTGAAGATGAAGTCTCCTAAACGCCACTGCCTAGAAACTGTTCTCTTTGTCAGCAGTGAAGATATTGGACCACAGGTTATTGATGTTTGCAAAATTGGACAATATATTTTTATCCTCAACTTCTTATGGTCAAGAATATTTATGCAAATAAAAACTTAAAATGGGTAGCTCCAGTAATTCCTATCCATACTGAGATGCTGAAAGAATGCATCTCCTCCTCTAAACAGCATTTAAATAAATTGAGATCATTATAAAACACATGAAGACACTGATGACATCATTTTTATACTCATTGGAAAATGTACAGAGCAAGGTGCATTTACAAAATAAACTTTAAAAGAAATTATAAAGCTTAAAGCAATTAAAAAGTTATGGGGAATCTGACTGTAGATAATACTTTAAAAATATAAACTGACTTATCTAACCTAAGTAATTTTTTTTTCTTTGAAACAGAGTTTCTCTCTTGTTGCCCAGGCTGGAGTGCTGTGGCACAATCTCGGCTCACTGCAACCTCTGCCTCCCAGGTTGAAGCAATTCTTCTGCCTTAGCCTCCTGAGTAGCTGGGATTATAGGCGCCTGCTACCACACCTGACTAATTTTTTGTATTTTTAGTAGAGACAGGGTTTCACCATGTTGGCCAGGATAGTCTCAAACTCCTGACCTCAGGTGATCCACCCGACTTCGCCTCCCAAAGTGCTGGGACTGCAGGTGTGAGCCACTGCCCCTAGCCCCAGATAATTACTTTTAAACTATAGTATCTAAATTTACTTTAATGTTGACTTCTTAAAAAAACTGGTGTGAATTAATTTGATAAGTTTCTCACTGTTTCCCCTGTTATCATTAGATAGATGCTGGCTAAAATGATGTACTTCTTCTCAAACTTTTAACATGATTCCAGGTTCAAAAAGTCGGGTTAAACAGCTTCAAGAATATTCTGGTAACTCTAGAACTCTACAGACATAAGTTCACTCAACCTCGGAATCTTGTATTCTCAGGATGCAATATGAGAAATCCCACAGATTGCATTCACTAGTTATTTGTTTTGGCCCCTCTGTAAATCACAGCTTCCTGTTTATGCCACTCATCTTGCCTGTAACATAAGAACTTTGATTTCACATTTGTGGTCAGCAGCTTGCACTTGTTCCTCCCAAGAACTATGTGCAAAAGATGCTGTTGCTACTACTGCTACAAAACAGAAAGAAAAAATATTAGTACCATGACAGAACTTTGGGAATGGTTGCCCTGGAAAAGGAAAGAGAGATAAAATCATCATGTTATGTTTCTTTGCTTTATTAAAATGATTTTTAAAAAAAGAAAAAAAAGCTATTTATTTCATTCACTTTCTAGAAAATATTCATTTTAAGAACAGATTTTTGCTTCCAATTTACAGGTTTCCATAAAAAAATCTATTTGAAAACCTCATCAGAAAAACAAAACAAAACTATATTTTAAAATAAACCCTACCTGCTCTTTTTTTTCGGTTAATGGGGACATACCAGAAAAGGGCCAGCTTCGGGCAAACTTGAAAACAGATAAAGGTTTGCATTTGAAACCCATCTCCCCATCTGACTCTCCTCCTTTATTCTGGCATGCTCACCGCTCACCTAGATACTCGGTGTCCTCATAGTGCCAGCAACTGCCAAAAACTAACCTACCTTTGACTGGACTTTCTCTTCCCAAATGTTGGAACTTTTCCAATTCAAAGCTTAATTGTTCTGAAATCTAGTCCTTGAAGGCCTTGCTAGGTAATGTGTAAGCCTCAGGTAAACTAAGACAAACTAATGATGGATGAACAGCTTCAATGTATTAATCACTGAATCTAATCTAGAAGGCAGGCTACTCCTGCAGTGTTTCAGAGTAGGGCCTTTCAACGTAACTCTAGGTAAAATCGCATTATTCCTCACCCTGAAACACGCAGAGAGTATGAGAAGCAGCCCACACCTGCAATTAAAAGTATAGACCTAAGAGTGCAAAAAGCTTATTTGGGGGGAAAATATATGTTTTTGTGACTTAGAAAATTTTGTATCATTCCTTTGGATTCATAAAGTTGCTTTTTAAATACAGAGATTCCTAGCAGGTTTATCAAATTAGAAGGATAACGTGGAATCACTAATACCTCCAAGTGAATTCATTTCTCAAATGAGTTCCTATCAACTAGCTCTTTTGGAAGCGATGGGAGTCTGTGGGAAGGGTATAAGAACTCTTTAATGCATGTTTTGTTTTGTTTGTTTTTTGTTTTTTTGGTTTTTTTTTTTTTTTTTGCTTTTAGGCAGGAATTACGACAATAATATTGTAAGTTTAAAGTTCTAATTATGCCCAAAACACATAACCTGAATCTAATCATCAAAAAAAAAAAAACCTCAAATTGAGGAACATTTGCAAAACTGGCATCTTCAAAAATGTAGACGTCATGAAAGACTAAGGTTAAAGGAGATTTAAGTGGCATGACAATTCAGTGCAATACGTGATCTTCGACTGGATCCTGGAGGTCAGAAGAGGAGGGAGAGATTGCCATAAAGGACATTTTGGCGTAACTGGGACAACTGGCAAGTTTTAAATTTGGACCATGTAGTAGGTAACAGTATTTTGTCAATGTTAAACTTTCTGAATTTGATAATTCTGTAAGAGAATATTCCTGGTCTTAGGAAATAGATGTTGAAGCATTTGAGGGTAAATAAGTATGATTTCTGCACCTAAATCTCAAAAGATTCAGGAAAAATATACATATACATGCAGATATATGATGGGAAGTAATGAACCACATGTGGCAGAATGTTTTTACAGTTGATGTATCTGAGTAACGGGTATATGGGAGTTGTCTGTACTATTCTTGATGCTCTTCTAGAGTTTGACATTATTTCAAGAATATTTAAAGAGCATTATTGAAAACAACACAAAAAATTAATCTCAAATGTATCCATGCCCTTGAAGACAAGTTAAAAATGAAATCTCATTCCCACCTTCCCACATTAACAACCACCTTTCAGCGACTCAGATTGGTTACAAGAGTGACGGGGCAAAAAGACTAGCTGTGCTGAAACTCAGCTGAGCACTGTAATTTGGGGAAGGTTAGTTTTTAATGGGAGGAGGAAGAAAAAGTTTAGCTGGAAGTCTGGGTGCAAAGGAAGAAAGAGAAGAAATGAGCTAGCATTTACCTCCCACAACCACCGCCACCAGCCGGCCCCTTGGATTGAATTTGAGCCTCCATAGTTGGCAGTGAGCACCAGAAGCTGATGTCAGTGTCTTAAGAGACGTTGGTGCCCTCTGAACATAACAGTGCTGATTTGGGGTCAAGATGACACAGTGTGGCACAGATTTGAGGAGGGGGCCATTATCTCCACCTCTGCACAGAACCCACTCCTGCTCTGACACCTGCAAAACAGCAGCAACTTTTGGACAATTAGGAAACAGCAGCACCTTATATTGAACACCTGTCTCATTACAGAGGCTACCGTCCACCTAAGCAGTGAGGAAGCGCCTTGCAGGGCTTTGTGAGCAGCACATGCCAACAAGAGACAGCTTAGCCAGAAGGATATGAAGGATATGTAGGCTGTGTGGGGTCTGCTACTGAACAATTGGTTTGTGACACATTTAAACCATGGTCAACAATGGAATTGGCTAGCTTCCTGATTAAAAATGAAAAATTTTTAAAGAGGCTACTTGTTCTATAACTGTTACCTCATGTCATATGAAAAATTGTTTGAGGAGGTCTGCTAGTTTGCCAGGGCTGCTTTAACAAAATATCAGACTGCATGGCTTAAACAACAGAATGTATTTCTGAGGGCTCGAAGTCTCAGACCACAGTGCCATCAAGGTTGGTTTTGAAGTAGGGCAGGTAAGCCCAAAAGTGTGGGTTAGCCTGTGAGGGTTCTTGGCTTTACGTAGGAGAGAATTCAAGGGAAAAACAGAGGTAGAAGGAAACAGATTTATTGAAAAGGCAGTGTTACAGCTTTGTGACTCAGGGCTACCCCGCAGGCAGAGAGTAGTACCTCGGGGCAGTTTTGCAGTCATATTTACACCCACCCATAAGTGGATACAGATTAAGGTGTGATTTATGCAGAAGTTTTCAGGGAAGGGGTAGTAAATTTTGGGTCATTGGGTCACTTCTATGGAAAGGGGCAGTCACTCCTGGGTGTTGTCATGACAATGGTAAATTGACGTGGCACACTGGTGGGTGTGTCTGATTGAAAGGTATTGAAGGGGGCTTCCTTCTCACTCTCCACCCCCATTTTAACTAGTCCTCAGTATGGTCTGATGTGTAAACCCCACCTTTGGAGTCTACTCCTGCTTCCTGCTTCTTTCCTCTGAGGCCTCTCTCCCTGTCTTGCAGACGGCCACCCTCTTGCTTCTCTTCAGATGGTCATTTCTCTGTTTACATGTGCCACTGGTGTCTCTCTTGTGTGACTAGATTTCCTCTTCTTATAAAGACACCAGTCAGATTGGATTAGGGCCCATCCTAACAGCCTCATTTTAAATTAATCACCTCTTTAAAGGTTCCATCTCCAAACAATTAAAGGCTCCATCTCCAAACAGTCACATGGTGAAGTACTGAGGAGGCTAAGGCTTCAACATATGAATTTGGGGGAACATACTTCTGTCCACAACAAGAAGTGTCCAATTTTCATAGAAGTAACTACAAACTTCCAGAGCAGCTACATAATCTAAAGAAAGCTGGCTTTGATTCTAAAGAAAACAGGGTTACAATATTCAAGCACTTTATTTTTTTTGAGATGCAATTTCGCACTTTTCACCCAGGCTGGAATGCAATGGAGCAATCTCAGCTCACTGCAACCTCTGCCTCCCAGTTCAAGCAATTCTCCTGCCTCAGCCTCCCAGGAAGCTGGGATTACAGGGGTGTACCACCACACCTGGCTAATTTTTGTATTTTTAGTAGAGATGGGGTTTCACCATGTTGGCCAGGCTGGTCTCGAACTCCTGACCTCAAGTGATCCATCTACCTCGGCCTCCCAAAGTGCTGGGATTATAGGTGTGAGCCACCACACCCGGCTCAAGCACTTTTATACATAAGAAAAAATAGGCCAGGCCTGGTGGCTCACTCCTGTAATCCTAGCATTTGGGAAGGCGGAGGTGGGTAGATCATTTGATCCCAGGATTTGGAGACTAGCCTGGGCAACATGGCGAAAAACCATCTCTACAAAAAAAATCCAAAAACACAAAATTAGCTGGGAGTAGTGGCATGAGCCTGTAGACCCAGCTACTCAGGAGACTGAGATGGGAGGATTGCTTGAGCCCAGGAG